GAAGTTTGGCACTGGTCATTGAATTTCAACTTGCAATATCCAGCTTCTGGTAATGTTCGACGCCGGTCATTGAGCAAATTCTAGAATTTATATATTGGCCTTCGAACTTTGGATTCTTCTCATCTTCTCCTCCTAATTCCTTCAATTGCTCAATTATATCCCTGTGACATCAAAATAATTTCAAATGAGCAGCTTTCCGTCCAATTGAAATCCATAAAACATAATTATGTCTCAAGAATACTTATAAAATTCTTCTAATCTACTCTCTATCAATTTAGACAATCAACAAATTACAGGAAATAAAACTAAGTTAAACTATGCAAGAAAATAGCAAATGAAAACTACTTAAATCATGGTATCTCTAAGTACTTATACAAGTGCAATTTTTGGATCATTAAGTACTACTAACTCGGCTAATTATGGCATAATTTTCTCATGCATGTACAACCTACTATCGTAGTGAATCAACTATACTAATAACTAATCCATACTTACTCTCGTGGTTATGATATTAGCTACAAATTCATTACCTCTGTGAAATTATATGTAATGAAGTCAGAAAAGTCACAAAGGTGCACCTCTACTCTTGTGAATGTACTTCTAGGTTTAGCACTTTTTGAACTAGTGTTAAATCCCAATTTTCATGAAAAAAACAACGCATTTAGATAATCACAATTAATGATACCAAATTAATCATGATTAGAAGAGCCAAAGTGCCAAATAACTTGGTTAAAATAATAGTACCAAATAGCCAAGAAATCAACACAATACAATTATAAGAAGTTTAACCAAAATCCAAGGTATAAACTTTAGAAACGCATATTAAAAATAAAATCCAAACTTGTATATTAATTAAATTTAAAATCAATACCAAAGATGAAGAGTTGGGGAGATAGAGTAACCCTTGTCACATGAACTCCCTCATTACCTCCTTCATCCTCCAACATTATTTTCATCTAACTAATACACAAGAAAGGTTGAACTAACTAAAACTAAACTATCCTACACTATCTACACTAAAGAGTTAAGAAACAACATTTTTGTGGTGTTCCTTGCCCCTATCCAAGTTCCCTTTGATTCTTGAAGCAAATGTGTTTATATAGAGAAGAAATGGTCCAAAAGATGGTTCTCGATCTACTCATTTACAGCTAAACAATCTCCAAATTCGTCCCTCATAAGAAGTGAAATAATGGAGTTGAAACAAAGTTATGCAAGTTGAAGCCGCAGAGTTTGACTAGAATCCCTCCAAGCAATCCCTCCAAAAATTGCCCAGATTCCTCCCATGTTTTTCAAATTTTAATTCTTCAATCCAACTCACTGCCTCAAATCTCTCCAATGAATCCCTTCAAAAATTGGTGGAGGGATTCGAGTCGACTGTCATTTTCGACATTTCTTCATTTTTCTTCTTCTAGTGATTTGAACCACATTTGAAGCTCATCATCCTTGCAAACTTTAGGACTTCAATCATCATAATGTAAGCTTATTTCTTGTCCAAAATGAAGTCCATTTTCAACTTTACAAAAAATAAAAAAAAAATATACAAGTAAAAGGGACAAATTCTCAATTAAGCATTAGATTGCATTTAGACCCAATTCCGGCAAATTTTGACCATTTCTTCATATAATACTACAAAATTGACTAAAAGTAATATAAAATATCATTTAAATATAACACAAAATAGTCACTTATCAATCAACAATAGCAAAATCTCATGAAACTTTAGAGGAAGACGACCAAGACAATGGGCCATAGGTATTTGTAGAATCCAAAGCAAAGGTAATTTTTTTTTTAACTAGCAAAGAGGTAACACTAATCATTCAAATAATGAGCAACTAAAAAGAATTATTCTATACATAATTGGGAAAAATTTAGTCATTATTAATATAAGTGTTGTTCTAGTAATTTAATAGAGATATGCATGCTAAATGGGTAGAAAATAATAGAAAACAAGAGGAGAATCTTATTTTCTAGCTATAAAGTTGAAGAACATAAAAGAATAATTATTTTTTGGGTAAAATACCCAAAAACTCCTTATGGTTTGCTAAACGTTCAATTTAACTCATTCTGGTTTGAAAACCTATACTATAACTCCCAGTGGTTTCAACTAAATTGAAAATTGGACCGAAAGCATCCTATCTAATGGTTATAGGTGAAATATCAATATTGCCCCTATATAAATGAACTCCCTATGATTTGTCAAATATTCAATTTAACTCCCCCTGATTTGAAAAATTACATTATGATGTCCCTACAGTTTCGACTAAATTGAAAATTGAATAGCAAGCATCTTACATATGGTAGGGGCAATATTGATATTTCACATACAACCATTAGATTTGATGCTTTCTGTCCAATTTTTAATTTAGTCGAAACCACAATGAGTTATAGTGTAGGTTTCCAAACCACAAAAAATTAAATTGAACATTTGTCAAACCACAGGGAGTTTTTTTGATATTTTACCCTTATTTTTTAGACTAGGTTGTAGCAAATAGCAACAATATGGATTCAAGGATATGTTTACTCAAACTAAAGAAAGGGTGCCATATTCTTATAAAAGAAAAGTTGGTAATTCTTTGGACTTTTGGACAGATTCATTAGTAAGATCAATACAAATGCTCAAAATGTTCTCTTGAAAACTCATGAAATCCATTTGTTATACACTAGGATGCTAGTCTTTAATCTCCTATCTTCAGTTGCATGACCAAAGAAATTTTGAATTTATGCAATTGAAACTTTTTCAATATATATGAGAAAAGAAAAGACAATTTAAAGCAATAGCAAACAAAAACTGCTACTAATTTAATAGAACAATTGTGTATTTAATCCAAAAAGCAAAATGCAGCATTTGAAGCTTGAATGATATCCAAATGCATCCAGGTCAGACCATCATGTCTTTCTCTGCACTAACTTTTGATAGCATGTAACAGTCAAACATAAGATTGACTAATAGAAGGATTAAAGTAGCACAAAAATAGAGGATGTTTAATTACCAATTATTTGAAAATTTTATTTATATACACTATAATATTTTTTGTAGTGTGCATGATATATTTGAGATAAAATTGTAGTTGAAAAAGATAAAAAAGGGATCGAAAATATGTTTACAATGTAAGTCAAAGAATTTTTTTTCAAATAATGAGGTATCTAAATACTTACCAAAATACTGAAATGTTAGGGGGATTACAACATTTAATTCCTTAAGTAACACATAATTAACATATATCTCAAGCATTTTTTAATTTTTCTTGACAAGAATCTTTGTATTCCAAATTCATTGATCAAGCACCAATCTCGGTGTTTCCAATTCTAAAATCCAACCCTTGATCTTTCAACTTCTTTGAACTCTCTCATTTATTCAACACTAATAGATAGAATGCAAAAATCGAGAAACAAAGAGCCCTGTATGTAGATTTTATGACCCCTTCATATCATAAGTTTAGGCTTAATGATTTTCGAAGGTTTATGCAAGAAGAGTTCAAAATGAGTAAGATCATTATGCAGGAAGGGTTCGAAGGTTTATGCAGGAAGAATGATTATGCATAGTACCTAAGGAGCACCATTAGAAAATTGTATAGTAATTTATAGTTAGATAAGCTTTCAATTATAGAGCATCTCCTAATTTATCTTTTTCTCCTTTGATTTCTTTCAATCGCTACATGCCCAATTTTGCAAACGATAGTGCTTGAAAAATTTAACTTTATGCAAAGATTTTTTCTCCTCCTAATTTATAAAGAACTACTTCTAGTGATAGGAATTAGAAAAATTATATAAGGCTTAATAGCCTGGCGCGAGGGTTGTAGGGGCCCTGACTATGGTATTCCTTTAGCCCTCCAAGTACACTACTTTTAGTGGGACATTTCACATTTCTTCAAAAAATTGTTAGGACCTACCAGAGCTCAACCTAAAATTCACGGTAATCAAACAGTAAAAGCCACTAGATTGAACCCACCAAATCTAATATCAGAAACCTCCCTAGAGGTTTGGCTTAATATCCCTTGGCACCCTTGAGGTTTTATAAATATCACTTATCTCGCCTAGTAATTGTAAAACGACTATAATAACCCTCACTTGACACATAATTTACAACATATCAAATAAATGGAGCTCAAAAATTTTTTTAAAAAAATGAGAGTCCCTTTCTTTTTTTTCCCTTTTCTCCATCATTCTCTCTCACTCATATTTTTTGGATGATTATGCAAATCTTTTATTTCTAGATTATAATAAATTAAATTTTGTTTATCTTTTACTTTTTGTGATTATGATAAAGTGGGGTATGATTTATTTGCTTATTTTGAGTTGATTTTTATAATGATTGGCATAGTTTAATGGTTTGAGTAAGGGTTGAGAAGATGTTGAAAAAAAATATAAATTCACAAGAAATTAGTTTTGAGCATATAGAATAAAATTGAAGCAAGTGTGTTTCTTTTCAAATATCTTTTTTATTTTTCAAAATTATATTCTTATGTAGTATAGCATTGTAATGTGGTAGTACTACAAGATATTGTATTTGAGGTGATGGTTTTCTTGAAGTGAACAAAGTGGTTTGGGAATATTTTTATTTAGCAAGTGAAAGGGTAGTTTAGGGTTTTTAAAAATTTTGTTACACAAATAATAAAAAGTAAGGGAGGTAATTGATATTTTTAAAACCTTAGGAGCGTCAAGTGATATTAAGAGAAACCTCAAAGGTGGTTTATGATATTATCCCATCTTACATATCTTATACACTATCATAATAGTTTCCTATATATCTTACTAGTTGAGAACAAATTCATATGTCCATGGTAAGGACTGTAACACTAGCTAGTAAAAAAAATGGATTTTCGGTTATACTTGAAATGTGTAACTGATTGAAGACTTAAGCATAAAAATGATTTCCAAAAAATGTTCAAGTTTCAAAAAAAAAAGGCTAGAAATAAGAATTGGCATATTTATTTAAACTAAAAACTTGCCATTAAATTTGATGACATTACATAACCTCTATCAAAGGTATGGTGTAGGTGTGAGAACCAAACAGGGCCATGCTATCCAAATGCGGCTAAGTCAGACCATCATGTCTTCCTCCGCTTTGCCTTTGCCACACAGATGCTCGTTCACCACCACCACCTCATTCGCCCAATCCAACCGTACATATTCTTCAACACCTGTAAACAACAAAGCCCCATTGGCTTCTCCCCACCTTGATCAACAATGCTCTTCCCAGGACTCCATCAAACGCCATTTCGACCACGGCTTCCCTCAAAAGGCAAAAACCATTCGGTACCGTTTCAGCCAGCTCTGCAAAGAGGGCCAAATACATGTTGCCCGCCAACTGTTCGACTCAATTCCTCAACCAACTACGGTTCTCTGGAACGCGATTATCATTGGGTATATTTGCAACGACTTGCACCATGAAGCCATTGCTTTGTATTCCAAAATGATGAAGAGTTCCAGTCAGCACCAGCCTGATCCTTACACTTTCTCATCTGTTCTGAAAGCTTGCGCCGAAACGAAAGAGCTCAGAATAGGTAAAGCAGTTCATTGTCATATTTTGAGGTCGGGTATATACGCTGGTAGGATTGTGTATAACTCTCTTTTGAATGTGTATGCCACTTGCCTGAGCAGTTTTGATGCTTTATATAGCTGTGACTTGGTGAAAAGGGTGTTTAGTACTATGCCTAAAAGAAATGTGGTTGCTTGGAACACCATCATTTCTTGGTATTTGAAAACAGAGAGACCTGTTGAAGGGCTAGTCCATTTTGTGATGATGTTGAAAATGGGTATAAAACCGACTCCTGTTAGTTTTGTTAATGTGTTTCCGGCCACTTCTAGAGTGATGGATGTTCAAATTGCTCATGTTCTTTATGGCATGGTTATTAAATTTGGGGATGAGTATGTTAATGATTTGTTTGTCGTGAGTTCAGCAATATATATGTATGCTGAGCTCGGTTGCCTTGCTGATGCTAGGAGGATTTTTGACCATTGCTTGGAGAGGAATATAGAGATTTGGAACTCTCTCATTGGTGGATGTGTTCAGAATAATTGTGCCATTGAAGCACTTCATCTTTTTCTCGAAGCACTAGAGGCACAAGATGATGTTGGAGTTGATGATGTGACTTTTCTTTCAGCGTTAACTGCAACATCACAATTGCAGAGTCTAGGTTTTGCTCAGCAGCTACACGCATCCTTGATTAAGAATTCATTGGTATCACATGCTATCCTTCAAAATGCCATTGTGTCCACGTATTCGAAGTGCAATAGCATTAGTGAATCATTTCGAGTTTTTAATGGAATGCAAGAAAGAGATATTGTTTCTTGGAATACAATGGTTTCTGCACTAGTACAGAATGGAATGGATGTTGAGGGATTGATGCTTGTGCACGAGATGCAATCTCAAAAATTTATGATTGATGGTGTAACTATCGCTGCTGTACTTTCTGCAGCATCAAATTTAAGAAATCTGGATATTGGAAAACAGACCCATGCTTACTTGATCAGGCATAGAATTCAATTTGAAGGGATGAATACTTATGTAATAGATATGTATGCTAAATCTGGTATGATGAAAGCTGCACAAGCAGTGTTCAATATGAACTGCTCAAAGGATAGAGACCCAGCCATGTGGAATGCTATGATTTCAGCAAATACCCATAATGGGTTAATTGAGAAATCTTTTGCTGTCCTTAGGCAGATGCTTGAGCTGGATCTCACTCCAACTGCTGTCACATTGGCATCAATTCTCCCTGCATGCAGTCAGTCGGGAAGTTTAGCTCTGGGTAAGGCAATCCATGGTTTTGCTATTCGCAACTTTCTGGATGATAATGTCTTTGTGGGCTCTGCCCTGGTGGACATGTACTCAAAATCAGGTGCAATCCACTATGCAGAAAGTGTTTTTGAAAAGTCACCCAATAAAAATTCTATTACTTATACTAACATGATAGTGGGTTATGGCCAACATGGGATGGGTGACAAAGCTATCTTGCTTTTTAATGCCTGGAGGGGAAGTGGATTCCAACCTGACGGAGTTCCCTTCCTAGCGGCCTTGTCTGCATGCAGTTATTCAGGATTGATTACTGAAGGTCTTCAAATTTTTGAGTCAATGAGAGATCATGAGGTGCAGCCCTCTCTGGAGCACTATGCTTGTGTGGTGGACATGTTAGGACGAGTTGGTAGAGTGGTTGAAGCATACATGTTTGCTGATGAAATAGATGAGGAGTGTAATGTTCTAGGAATCTGGGGTTCACTTCTTGCTGCTTGTCGAATACATAAAAATTTTGAATTGGGAAAAGTTGTTGCTGACAAGTTGCTTGCCTTGGCCGGAGGAGATAAGACGACAGGTTACCATGTGCTACTTTCAAATATTTATGCAGCCGAAGGAAACTGGGAATATGTAAATAGGGTGAGAAGAGGAATGAGGGAAAAAGGTCTGACAAAAGAGGTAGGGTGCAGTTGGATTAACATTTCTGGTGTAGCACACTGTTTTGCATCTAAAGATGAAGCCCATCCTGTCTGCTGTGAGATATATGAAATGTTGGGGTATTTGAGCACCAATATGAAGGATGCTGGTTATAGTGCTTCTTTGAGATGGCAAGAAGTTTGGGTCTCAGAATTTGGGGAGTGAATATTTATACTGTATTCAATGCAACAGGATCCCATAATTGGAAGAAAATTCATGTGATTATGCAGTCACCTGTTTGGGTTGGGCAGCATAAGGTATTGCCAAATAAGGTTTTTCAGAATTTGTGGTTTTCTCTGCAGAAAGGTATGCTGATACTTTTTTGACATTTATTAACATCAATCAGATAGACAAAGAGACTCGGAACGTATTGGCTACATTTTAGTCGTCCTCCATTTGCACGTGATTCTCACGTGTTTGTTGGTTAACAATTAACAATTGGAAGAAAGAGTTCTGAGGGTGATTTTTTAATGCGGGGCTCGATGGACATCGGCAGCTTACCCACTTCGCCAGGCAACTTCACACGTTTCTACCCACTCCCTCAGTGCTTTTCCTTTCTTCATTTTTTCATTCATCTCCCTCTCCTCTTCATCCTTCTTCTTCCTCTTTTATTTTGTTTTCTTAATTTTTTTGGTCAAAATTGCCTTCTTTCGTTTACCCTTTCTGCTGTATGTAGAAGTATGTGATAAACGAGGACAAAGCTGAGATTCTTCTAAGCTTTTAGGTGGTATTCTTCTCTCTCCTCCAAACCCCAAAGTTCCGCCATCTGTTTCTTGCTTGGTATCAGGAACAATGGTTCAATGTATATCAAAAGTAGACCTTGTTCTACCCGCTCCCTCTCTTTGGTTTGTCTCTTGGATATCTCCTTCGTTGTCGACCACGTGTTCTTGATTTCCCAAGGGAAGAGAGTCAAATACAAATTTCTAGATCTCCTGCCAATCAAATGTGCAAATGGTCCCTTCCTGAATAGAAGTGTAAGTTTACAATTATCAATTAAATAGTATCATCAACTTTGAAAGAACAATTTTGTTCTGAAGATTCTGCCTTCCCGCTTGGACTTTCAATTGGATATGAGAATGTAGTAACTCTGTATTGCATGTTGTCTAAACAAGCTTGTTTTCCAGGATATACAAGGTTTTTCTTCTAAGTTTCCGGTATTTACTTCTTGAGCAGGCCAAATTATTGAAGAACTTGAGCAAAGGATTGTAATGATGGAAACTTCATTAAGCAGGTTTGGAATGATCTTGGATTCTGTTCAGAGTGACATCAACCAAGTCGATAAAGAAACAAAAGAATTAGTGTTTGAGGATAAGTATTCAATTCTACTACTACCATTTTGTTTTTCTGTATTTTGTGCGGACCAGATCCATCGAGCTTTGCATGTCCGTTAACTTTCATTTTTTATGACTTTTATTACCTGTTGATGACTATAAACATTCAGAAGCCCAAACTTCTTCACTCTTCAGGCACTTAATTCAATCAATTACCGGAAAAAAAGGAACACTACAGAATTTTCTTGAAGGTAGTAAAGAGTTCAGAGCTTCATAGTCGCAGTAGTAAGTCTGGCACTCTCGCTTTTGTGCTATACAAAAATTTTTCCTTTTGAAAATTTCTGCATTTCTGAGATTGCTATATGCTGTTTAATTGCAAATTACAATAGTTTACCGAGTACCCTTTTGAGTTTTGTATACAATTCCGCCAAAGCAGTTCAGTTTATACAGAAATTGTCTGTACGTTTTTCTGGATACCAGCATAATTGCATACTATTTTTCATCAGTTTTTTGGCATTTTGTTCAATTATTTAGGCAATTGTTCAATTAGTGCATTTTGTTCATTTTATATAGTTGGTAATCTTCTGCAGTATCAGATGAATTTCAAGTCTTGGGCTCTTTAATTTGCTTAAGGACAGTTTGCCTAACGCAGATTTTTTTCCCCTGCAGTTGGGTCCTTTTTTTACCATAGGTAATGTTTTATATGCATTGTTACAAGTTTTAGCATGGGTAATGGATTCTGTTTTCTTCTTCTTATTCTTCTTCACATATCTGCTCCCATTGTCAACAAAAAGAAATACAAAATGAAACTTCTTTCCCATCTTTAGATTATCTCTTCATAGCTGTTATGCTTATTGTGCCTGATTTGATAGCTAGCAAATGTCCTACTCATTTCTTTCTTGAAGTTTAGACCATAATTATCAGACTGGATTAATAAGAATACAAATGAAAACCTATTCTGGTCACATGTTGTCAATTTGTATGCTGCAAATTGCTATAAATCTGAACATTTGAAGAGACCAGAAAATTGTATCATGGGTGAGCATTTTTTCTGTTTCTGTTCCTTTTTCCATTTATAGGTAATATTCCCTTGTGGTCTGATATCTGATCTGTTCTGTTGGTATTTGGGCAGTTGAAAATGTTGGGCCTGCAATGAAAATGTTCTTTCTATTGCCATACTTTTCTTCTATCTGCTGACAATCTATTGTCAAATGGAAATGGTATGTGTGTATGTATGCAAGTTTTCTGCAGCAGGCATTAGGTGTGATGTCGAAAGCTGTGAATCCACTTGAAATTGATCAAAACATGCTTCAGAGATAATGAGAAAGCATATTTTCAGGCTCCTTTTCCATCATTTATATCGTCACTGGTCTTAATTCTCCATCTTTTGTACTTCTCTGGTCAGGTTTTAATAAACTCTACTTGAGTTAGTCAGCCTGCTAAATATTGCAAAATGACTGCTGTGCTACTCCATTTTTTGACTTCTTAGTTGTATCTATGTGTATTCAATAGTGGACTTCTTCTCACATTCATTTTTCGCGTCTAAAATTTGTTGGAAACAAAAAAAAAGATTGTTCTTTTTTGAAAAGGAATCGGATGCTAAATGGAGTTCATTTCGTTGTCTTTTAGCTACTGATTGATTTTAATGATGACTTTCAGAATTACTGGACAATTTAAGAACACTAGTTTTTGATAATAATAGAAGTATAGTGCCACAAAAATTCAAGACATTTATTAGAAGATTTTAGAATCAAAACAGGGAGAAATAAGGAACATCATAGGTTTTTTGCAATATGACATTACAATTTTAGTTTATTTAGTTGTATTTCAGGCTTTAAGTTGATTGCCATATTTTGGTGAGGCAACCCTGATGGCATTTGAGGTTCATTCATTTTTCCTCTTCAAATGCAACTGCATCTGCAGCCATGGCAGTAACCTCATGTCTGCCTGACTTTTGATAACAGACCTGAGCCTTACTTTAAACTTTCATTATCACTGCTCCACATGCATCTGAGGCCAATAATGCGTACAAAAAATTTGTGGTCTTTTATTTTTGTTATTTGTATTTTCAGTTATTAAAGTTGAGGGTTGTGGCTGGTTTTGTTCACTCCGAATTAGGGGTTCTTGCATGTGAAAAAGCCTAGGAATTTTATGTTTTAGAATCCTGATCATCAGGTGAGTCAATAAAGTTCTGGTTTTTCATTTTGTATTTTGTCTTCGTTTCCGTTTTACAAATTTTACTCAAAGTTAAAATTTGATTGTTGTTGAAGGATTGATTGAGGTATAGCCTGTTGACGTTTCTTACAGTGTGTAATAATCTTTGCTTAGGGAAAGAAATATATACATATATATATATATATTGTATATGTATGTATGCATGCATCCATGCGTATGTATGTATGTATTTATTTTAGTCTTGGACTAAAATGTTTGCAGTTTGATGAACTCTTTAAGTTTTTTAGATTATGCTGCATAGTGGAAGTGATGATTAATCAATTGAGTGAGGAGAATGGTCAGGGGGTTATGTGCTTTTCACAATTTGCATTTTAGTCTGCTGCTGTATTATTTTTGTCGAAGTATGTGGAATTGGATATTACTGTGAATTTGAGAAAATAGACATTATTGCATGGTCTTGGTTCATATTTTAAGTTCGTGGGTGAATTTGTTGTAGCTTTTACCAATCCAGTTGACGTTAGATGTATTGAGATATATATATATATATATATATATATATATATATATATAGAGTTGTATTTGTGTTTCTCTAGATTGGCTCAGCTTATAAAAATCACTCTTGAATTGACTATAAAACTATTTCATCTTAATGTTTGGTAATGTAAGTTTTGCTCATTAGTTCATTGAGAAAACCGTGTTTGAAAGTCCTCATTCTCAAGTTGTTGGTGCAGAAGTTTTGTCTCCTATTTCACCAACTAGCTACTACCATTGGAAGTCCTCCTGTGATCGCTGTGCACTGAACTTGTAGGATATTCATGGTTTCTGAATACTCTTTATGTGATATCCATGATGCTGTTGTACGAGGATGTGCATTTATACTACGTTGGGACATCGTCTGCCATGCAAATGAATGTTCTTTTGTGAGCCATCCTTTACCATCCAACAGGAAGAGTTTACAAGTAATAGATAGCTAATGATTTACGAGTAGCAGAAATTTGAAGTAAACATGATGAATGCTTGATGGTCGTTTGTGTGGAACTAAATGCATTATCACTCTCAGTTTTTGTTGAAAAAAAAATTTATTTTATTTTTTTGTATAAATGGATCAATGTCCTTCATGTTTTTGTGTTAAAAATAGTATTGAGTCTTTTGACTTGCAAAAGCCTCCTTTTTTCTTTTTTTTTTTTTTTGATTGCAGGTACATATCCTCTTCACAGACAAATAATAGACATTCTCTGATTAGCATCACAATGAATCTCCGAATGTTTAAAAAACATGCCTTGGCTTATTTGGTTCTTGAACTGATATATAGAATGCAATGAATAATTTCTTTTATGATAATATCGTTGACAAGATAAATTTCTCTGCTAAAGTTGGCTGTTTTCTGCACCATTGCTTCATCTTAATGGTAATTCTTTGCTGAAATGGAGGACTCATATAGGATTTTGGAGTTGAGCATCTGATTTTTCTTCATCACTTCTTGTTTGTCTAAGTGCATTATCACTCCAATCATCATTTTTCGATTTTTTTCCCACCCTTTTCAATTTAACAGCACGTGATTTTTCTTTGGTGGGCACTTTATAATCCTCAAACTGTGCTAGGCATGCTAGGGATGGCAACGGGGTGGGTGCCAGCGGGGGAATTTTTTCCCCCCGTTTAGAAATGGGGCGGGGGGCGGGGGTGCACCACCCGTTTGAAAAAAAATATATATATATGTACATAATTATATATATATAATGATATTATTAATTATATTATTAATTATATATGTCTATTAATAAAAATTATTAATTATTTATACTAAATTTATTAATACATTTATGTTAAATTCCTAACTACACTTAATACAATAACATTTTTTCTAAAAAAAACACAATAATAATTTAGTGATTGTATTTGTATCAAAAATGAAAATTTGATTATTTTAGTTATATTTGTTTTATCATATTAAATTGTATTCAAATAATCTTTGTTTAATTATTTTTATGAGTTTCAATTGTAAAGTTACAATGAATAATAATTTGGTAATGTGTTGATATTTTAGTACTTGATTATTTGCTCAAATTTAATTATAATGAAATTATATAATAAAATTTTTTTAACCCTGCAGGGGAAGTGGGGCGGGGCGGAGGGAATTAAAATGCAACGGGGCGGGGGTTGAGGGAGGTAACCCCCGCTCCACCCCCGCCCCATTGCCACCCCTAGGCATGCGCGGTTTTCACCTCATAGTATATGTGTATATAGGGAATCCAAGGGCTCAAATGAGTGGTTGTCTTGGTGATGTGGCCAATTGTGATTGGCTGGTGGGCGGTCGTCCAAAATTTTGCCACTTTGTGATTGGTTCAAATGTCGTCCTCCTCCGCACGTGAACTAAGGTGGCATTTGGTTCGTACTTTGAAATCGAATTTGGAATTGGGATCACATATCTTGGATTTGGAATTGAGTCAGTCATTTCAATGCATCTGTTTGGTTCAGTACCAAAAATATATATTATTACTATAATTGATGTTTGGTTCGTTGGCTCTTTCGAAATGAGATATAAGAAATTTTCACTAATTAAATGTATTAGCAAATTTAGTATAATTATCAATTATACTATATATACTAATATACATTATATAATACATATAGCTAATAATATCATTATTATAAGTTTGTAACTAATTAAATTAAATATTATGGATAATTATGTATCATATATAATTAAATATAATTATAGAAATATTATATTATATATATATTAATTACACTACTATATTATAATTATAATTATACTGTATATTATATATTAAATATAATAATAATTATTATATTTATAATAATAAATATAAATATAAATATATAATATATTATTATTATTATATAGACATATATATAATAACTATATGTACATATAATATAAATTTATAAATATATTTATAAATACTACAAATGTATTATCATATAATATTAATAAATTTATAATATATATTATATAATTATAATTATATTTAATTAAATAATTATAATATATGTATTTATATAATATATTATATATGTGTATATAATAATGATAATAATAATGATTATTATTATTATGAATATATTATAATAGTTATAAATATATTATATAATTACACTAATATTATAATAAAATATATAATTGTAATATATATATTATATATAATTATATATGTATATAATTATATATTAATTTTTTTAATAGGTGACGGGATGAGCTCCGTTTCTAAAGGGGAATCAGACTTGGGTTTCGTTCAAAACCTTCCAGGTTACTAGGGAATTGGAGAATTCCAAATTTTTAGATATAGTTCCAAAATTTCAATTAGGATAGTAGTAATTCAAACAAAAATTATGTAGTTTATTTCAATTCTCCGTTCCGAAATTCTCTTACCAAACGTCTCGTTACTTTTTCTCCCCTATATTCCCTTTGGGAATGCAAGGGCGGTTATTTGGGTGATGTGGCCAATTGTGATTGGCTGGTGAGTGGTCCCAAAATTTTGCCACTTTGTGATTGGTTCAAATGTCGTCGTCCTTCTTGCACTTTGTTCCCCCTATTTTCCTTTCTTTTCATTCTTAGCTTTAGCGGGAAGCAATGGGCTTGAGGTGACCGCTCCAAGTCACATCCATTCTTTGTTCCTCGTGAAACATGAAACATAAGGGTAAATTTTGTAGTGTATTCACATATTCCAAAGACAGGTGTGGAAAGTAAATTATATGGCAAAGAAGCTGGCACGTAGCAACCTGACATGTACGAAGATGAAGGGAATGTTTCTAAAAAAGTAAGTGGTGACCTATAACCGCGGTTTAGAAATGTGAATGTAGCGTACTGCAGAAGTTGAAAATGTATTGGGGTGTGACGGAATTAACATAAATATAATGGGCCTACGAATAAAACACCGAAAAGGAAGCATAAGTAGTACTATCTATTTACGGGCATTACATCAACAAAATACTATCTATTTATGGACATTTTACTCTGAATCATTACATTTATGTAAAATACATAAATATGTGTAACTAAAATTGAAGAACTGTTACACTAATATTTTTACGAAAGGAAAATTGGTTGTCCTGTATTTAACATAAGCTGATTTTTATGAAAGTAAAAAATATATTGCCCATAACATACCTATTATTTATGATTTTTTTTTTGTATTACATCAACAAAACACTAGCTATTTACGGGTATTTTATTCTGAATCATTACATTTATGTAAAATACATAAATATTTGTAACTAAAATTGAAAAAGTGTTACACTAATATTTTTACGAAAGGGAAACTAGTAAATTTTGTATTTAATAAATTTTAAATATTTGAAAGTAAAAGAGTTTTGCCCATAACATACCAACTCTTTATGAGTTTTTTGCATTACATCAACAAAATACTAACTATTTATGGGTATTTTATTCTGAATCATTACATTTATGTAAAATACATAAATATTTGTAAATAAAATTAAAAAAGTATTATACTTATATTTTTATGAAAGGAAAACTAGTAGATTTTACATTTAACAAATTTTAAATATGTGAAAGTAAAAAAGATTGCGCCCATAACATACCAACTCTTTATGGATTTTTTTGCATTACATCAACAAAATACTAGCTATTTATGGGCATTTTACTCTGAATCACTACATTTATGTAAAAAACATAAATGTTTGTAATTAAAATTGAAAAAGTGATACACTTATATTTTTACAAAAGAGAAATTGGTAAAATTTGTATTTAACATAAATTAAATATGTTAAAGCAATATTAAAGGTGATTTTATTAGTTACTTAATTTGTTGGTAAGAAACAAGGTTTCTTTTGCAAAATTTGTTCATTAGATTTTTTTTCAAATAATTAGGATATAAAGGTAAATTTTCACAATTTTTTGTTAGCAATAGGCCCCAATTTCCTCCTAGACAGTGACGAAGCCAAGATTTTTTTACTTTGAGGGAGTGCCAAAATGATTGACAAATAAAATTATTTTAATATATTATGTTAAAAATAATTTTCATCTATTTAAATATATGGTATCCTAAAATATCAAATATTAACTTTAATTATAAAGGTATGTCTATTTGATAAATATGTAGTTTAGTCATAACTAAAATTAAAACAAGAAATAACATTTGATTAAATATCTTATAGGAAAAAAATGCACTTTTTTATCCTCAAAATTTGGGTGGTTGACCAATTTCATCCTCAAAGTTTCACCCCAAACATATTGCATCCTCAAAATTTCGTAATTTTGGCCAATTAAGGACAATTAACGAGAAATGAAGAATTGATCGTTAGAACAATGATTTTACTCAACACAAAATTGATAAAATCGAATGGAGCCATTTTTAACGGAACAATTGCAACGGATAAAAAGCTCAATTCTTCTCCTTCTTCTCTTTGCTTTTCTGTAACTCCAAAATTTTTTTGCCAATCTCTGGAGTTTTAATGACCGTTATACAACTTTCAAAACAAATAAATTCATTCTAAATTTTTATTTGGGATTATTTCATAAACCAAATCGTGGTCACTTTCCGTAAAGTATCACTTTCCCATAAAAGACTAGCTCTTTATGGCTTTTCTCCATTATAAGAACAGAGTACCTATTTTTTCATAATTAAATTTATTTATCGAATAAAATAAAAATAAATTCATTTTCTAATAAAAGACTAGCTCTTTATGGCTTTCCTCCATTATAAGAACAGAGTACCCATTTTCTCATAAATAAATTTATTTATCAGATAAAATAAAAATAAATCTATTTTTCAATAAAAGACCAACTCTTTATAACTTTCCTCCATTATAAGAATAGAGTACCCATTTTTCCATAAATAAATTTATTTATCGGATAAAATAAAAATAAACCCATTTTTTAATAAAAGACCAGCTCTTTATGACTTTCTTTCATTTTAAGAACAAAGTATCCATTTTTTCATAAACAAATTTATTTATCAAATAAAATAAAAATAAACCCGTTTTTTCAAAAAAAACATCAGCTCTTTATGACTTTTCTCTATTATAAGAACAGAGTACTCATTTTGAAGGCAAAAAAGAATTTGTTTATCGGATAAAATAAAAATAAACTGATTAATGTCAATATTGAGATATAGCAAAATGGTGGCCCACCTCT